TTTGCCCACAACAACTTACATTTGACTTTCACAGTGGCATGGGTTTGTGTAGGAAGTTAGGACCTAATTCGAGAGGTATAGCATCGGGCCTCCCTGGTAGCACAAGGGCTTAAGCCTCAGCACTATCAAGCTATTGGCAGCCACTGCAGCACCAGTTCAAATCCCGGCCAGGGAGCTGACCCACATCACGCAGCAGACCTCTCCTGTCTCACCTGCTGCTCCCCTCAGCAGTGCATTTCAGTAGATTCACCTGTTCTGCTTCCCACTCTGTCTCTGGTGAATTCTCTCACCCCCCACACACCTCTGGCCTGCACCCCAGCTTTTGTATGCATAAATAAATAAAAGAAATATTTAAAAGGAGCAAAAATTTAAAACGAGAGGTACAGCATCTAAGGTGCTGTACACGTCTCAGAAGTACAACCCTCGGGGGTGACCAGGTGTCGCGCCTTTGTCCTGACTTGGCTCCAGGCTGCCTCAAACAGAACACCCAGCCATTTCTGGCAACGTTTCAGGCAGAATCCTTTGGTGAGAACTGAAAGCCATTTTCTGAACAACTCATTGTTCTGGAGTCTTCTCACTGATTGCTGACTGACCTGGAGGCTCGCCAGGAGGACGCAGCCATGGACGGGGCTGCAGGCTGACTGTGCCCTGGACTCTGAAGCCCTCCTGGCTCTGCGGCAGAGAACATCTGCTCAGCTGGTTCTGGTGTTCAGAGGAGTCTCTCTTGTGCATCCCTCTTGTTCTCATGAACTTCCCCCAGGGCCCCCTGTGATTATAGGATTCATTAGTGCTGTGTATTTTCTGTTCACTCAGACTCCTTGCTACCAGAGGCCATTCAATAGTCTTAGGAAGAGACAAACTGTTTTTGGCATCTGTAAGATAAAGTCCAAAGAGCTGCTTTCACAGGGGATCTTATTCCTTTCCTACCCCCTCCTCCACCCCAGGCCCCGCCCCCACCCCTTTGAGCTAACACAGGACTAGCCTTTCTCCAGATGACGCTTCTTACCAAGTTACTAAACGGCTGTAGCCATCCAAGGAGCCTGGCTCTATGGATGTGGATTCTTTCATCCCACACTTTTCTCAACCAGCAGTCTTGAGACCATAATGTTTCCCACCAACTCTTCCTCAGCCTACTTTCCACACTTCTTGTCTGGGACCCTGGGAGGGCAGGCTCCTCCTCCACATGGCAATAAGCTAATGGATAAACACACATGGACAATTTTAAACCAGAGGCTGCCTCTAAAGTAAGACAGACTTCACATGTGTGGCCTGTCTTTGCTCAGACTGGATTATGCCTCCCTCTGGCCGCCCCAATCAGGCTTCTGCTCCCTGTTTTAGCTTCTCTGTCTCCCATTAGTAAATGGAAACTGGTTTGTGTGGACACAGGTCCAAATTCACAGATGGAGTCAAGCAGGGTGAGAGATGGGACACTGTCTCCTTCCCTCAGGACAACCTGTGGCTGAGGCTGGTCGCTGGCAATTTTGCCCTGGCTCTGCAAGGAGTGTCTGTGGGCTACAGACGCCTGCGTTGGTGGCGACACCCCACTTCATGGTGAGCACCCAGGGGATGCTGTGGTTTTGCAACCCCTGGTGATATGCTCTTTTAACTGTGCATTACTTTCATGGGGACCCTGAAAACTATGCCCAGGTGGACCCTGTGCCCACAGCTGAGGGCCTCCTCTTGTTACTGAGCTTATCATTTAGGGGCTGCAAGGCTAACACTGGACTAGCGTATGGGGGGCAGTGAGACTCGCCTGTAGAAGGAAGCAGGGCTCACCTGATCTACATTCCCCGAGTGCGTCTGGTACCCCGGGTGCCCTCTGAGTCAGTGAGTCTGAACATCTAGGTGAGCCTAGATGTTAGGACATAAAGCCCAGCGGACCTTACAGGCCCTGCCTGACTGTCCCTTCCAGAGAGCCCCTAATGCTGCTGCTGTCTACCCTATAAGCAGTGTTACATGCTTTCCCTCAACTGCCCGGAATTCCGCAGAGAAGTGACAAATTTGAACTGCACCCCACCACCACTCCTGATCATCAGCATGATCGCATCATCACCCGTCACCAGAATCTCTGCATTCAACTCCTGCCAGTCAGCACCCACTCTTCTCTAGAGTACGTAACCCCCCCTCCTTCTTGACTGTCTCTCCAGTGACTAACGTCACCTCGAAAACCACCCAACTGGCTGCCTGAAGCAGCCTAAGATAAATCATTTAGCCTTAGAGTTTCACCCTCTTAAAAATGGGAAGAATAATCCTTGCCCTTAGGGACATGCTGTGGAATTGAATTAGCTCAGCTATAATCAATAAAATATTAGATCAGTCTAAACTCTCCAAGAGCGAGAGGGCCCAAATATGGATGTTGCTGACCACCTGCAGATGGCTCCACAAGCAATGAGGGTCTCTCTTGCAGCCCCTCCCTCCCCGCAGCCGCTACTCAAGTCACCGGCTTGTCAGTGCAGTGGGGACAGCTGATGGCATCACTGCCTCCCAAAGGAGGGAAACATGGCAATCTTCACAATGACCCACCTTCAAAATAATTCCTGGTTTTCCCAGAAACTGAGTGACAGTGCATATGGCATAAGAAGAGGAAGAATGAGAGGCAGGAAGGGTTCAGAAGAACTGCAGCTAGAGGGGACCAAGACAAGACAAGGAGATGGTGTCGTGGCGGGGACTCACAGGCACACACTCCATGCGGGAGAAGTTGACAGCCCAGGGGTCTCAGAGGCAGAGGAGACAGCCTGGGTGTGTTTCCTGTAAGTGGGCCCAAGTGCTCCTGAAGTCACAGATGGCATCAACAGCAACGCCATAAGTGACACCACAGGCCATGCCACCTGATGCAGGAAGGTTAATGGCAAGGGCACTAGGCTGCCAGGTAGACCTAGCTGCTAATCCTGGCTGAGCAACCTTGAGCGGTCACCTCCCCTCTCGGATCCTCTGTTCCTTCAACTGCAAAACAAGGCTGTTGTACAGGTTGACGGCACAGTCACTTCTATGCTCCGTTCTCTTATCCTTCAAGCCTATTCAGTCCTGAGGGACAGATGTCATTTATACTCCTGTCTCTTACCCCCCACCATCCCCCCGCCCAGAGAGGAGGAGTAAACTTCCCTTCTCCACCATGTGACTGACCCACTGACGTCGGACCCATTGGTGACATGCTTTGACCAAGTTGCTGAGTGGCAGGGACAGTGCGTCTGTACTGAGCAGAAACTTGGAGAAGCTTCCACCAGGGCTCCTGAGCCCCTGCACTAAGCTGGGAGAAGACGACACCCCGGTAGTGCCTACTCTCTGAGCATGAAAAGCCACGCAGAGGAGGCCAGACGTGAAGCACAGCAGAAGCCAGGCCTGGCCAAGCGAGCAGAGCCACACCCTTTCCGCAGACCTGTGAATGGGAAATGTGAGAAGGCCCTGAAATTGGGAGCTGACTGTTACGGCGGCAAAGCTGAGTCACGCACCACATGATGGGAAAGCGTGTCTCACACACTCATACGTGAGGACTGATCACAAACTTGCCTGAAGGAGACTGAAGGGCAGCTGGAGGGGCCCCTACAGGAAGGCCCTCCACTGCTTCCCCTCCATGCCAGCGCGTTCTCTCTCCATATGGAGACACACCTGGCTTTTGGCATCAACAACATGGGCCTCGGCAGGGGTAGGAAGGGAGAGGGAGCTAAATTAGAATGCCTCAAAGTCAAATTCCTCCCCATTCACAGTCCTCTCTTCTACCGTTCTCCAATCTGGTGCCGTCTGTTTCTTTCACTGCCTAGGTGCCATAATTAAAAGGCTCTTAAACTTGGGCTTGATCGATTGGGTTAGCTAGCATGGAGAGGCAGCAAGATGGTTAGACAAGTTAACAATTTCCAGCATCACTGGTTGCTGGCTGCAATCATCAGTAGGCAAGTCTCTGGAGCTCTCAATTCTAATATTAAGAAAGAAATTCCCCAAAAGAAATTCACACGAGCATCAGCGCAGCAAAATTACAACACATCAATGTTTTCCTGACAAACAGGGCAATGTAGCCTATTTGATAATAAAACACAAGCAAATGCCCAGAAAAGGCAGCTGTGGTGGTCTAAGCCCTGGTACCATGGCCTGGGGGGTAACCTGGATCCAGGTTGGGGTGTCCCAGCAGGGCTGCAGCACACTCCATTTTTCACACAGAGAAGTCCAGGCCTACTCCCTGCCTCCCATTCCCTGCCTCATGAGTTACTTGAACACTGACTTCAGAGTTGACAGCTATACTCTTCTGTCCTGATAAGCCCCCACCAAGCAACCCAACTTGATGGTTGACAGCGGTGGGACACAGACATGGGGAAGGGGTAAAGGAACCAGCAGGAACTCAAGTGGTGGCTTTCCAACTTTTTTCTAAAACGCCAAAGTCTTGTAAACTCTGTCTTGTCTGAAAGGAGACATACAAACAGAAGACATGCCCATGAGCTCAGAGGGAGAAGGGGAGGACACAGGTCTCGCCGGGCAGGCTCCATTTCCTGCCCACTCCCACAGGTGTGCTGGGAGCTGGTGTGCAAGCCCAGGATGACACAGTCAAAACTGGCAGACGACGGAAATCTGGGGCGCTGGAATAGGCTACAGAAAACTGCAAGGGGGTTGCTATCAGTACAGCTATTTCTGAGCCTCCTCTATGGAGAGAAGAAATAACAGGTCTTTCTCCTCATGGCCGGGAAGCCAGAGGGTCACAAGGATAAGGTCTTTCTCATCCCGCTTGCAACAGCATCGCTGGCCTGTCAAGCTTCCGAGAGCCAAGTTCCTTTTCCCTGTCTTCAACTGGAAAGACAGACTTGCTTGGAAAGATTTAGATTTTCCCTCTTGCCCCCCCCTCCTCCCCTTTTCCAGTCACCCCTCAAATCTCAGTGTCTGTCCCCTGCTGAGCTCACAGTTCTCAAGTCTGGGGCCAGACCTGCCTTGACCACCCAAGGAAGAGCTCCTGGAGATTCATCTAACTCACCAGATGGGGCTCCCCAGTCTCCACAGAGACAAACCCCCAGACTCACCTATGCACACCACATCCATGAATCCATACATCCCATAACAGATCTGGAAGAGGAGGTCTTGGCGCTGCCATTTTGCAGAGGGACTGAAGGTCGACCAGATGAGCCAAGAGATACTGGCAATGAGGAAGAGAGAACCTAAGATGGCGGCTGCAATCTGAACCTTCTCGATGACTGTCAGAGAGATGGCCTGCCACTGTGTGGAGAGAAAGGCAGGTTAGCTGTCGCCTGGATGCCCTTACCCTATCTCCATCTCACTCCCATCCCTTTTCTCTCACCATCCTCCCTTCTCTGATTTAGGATTTAATTCAGCACTTTTCAACTTATAACACAATGGATATTTTTTATAGGTTTCTGAGTGTTATGCTGTATTTTTGATAGGGAGGAGACTTATATCACCCCCCCAATAATCAGGAGTCATTGTAGGCAGGAGGTTCCGTGCAAGCATGGGTGGGAAGGAAGGTCATTAAAGTTGATTATGATACAGAGAAACAGGAGAAAGTGAAAATGTAAAGTTAGTGTGGGTGGTACTCCAGGTCCCAGAATATTCTTTTCAGGGCAACACTGTTTATTTTCACACAAATAGGTGCTGACAAGGTACAGGCCTTTCTTTCATTTGTTTTCTACAATACCTGACATGTCATTTAATATACATTTTAGAGATTACCAATTCACCAGGAAAGGAGAGGATAGAAAATATGGAGGAGCGGTAAGAAAAACAGTATAATTTACCACATGTATATGAAAACAGATTTCACTCTTTTTTTAAAAAAAAAAACAAACAGGAAAAGTACTATACTAATAATATTGATAAATAGGTTGAAGGTTGCAGTATGAGTGAGTTTCAACTCTGAATTTCTACAAGTCTATGACCAAAATGAGTGGGGAGTTGGATTTTAAATCAGGATTTTTCAGGCATTCGCTTAATAAATATGTACTGAGTATTACAGCTGCAATTCTTCAGGAGCAAGAAAGAGAGGTACATGTCCCTGGGATAACCCATCATAGGGAGATTTGACTTCCCAGGGGAAGCAACACTTAAAGAGAATAGCATTTAGGAGGCAAACAGGAAGACATAAGTGTCACCCAAGCAGAGGGAAGAGCTTGTATGAAGGCCTTGTGGCTGAAAAAGTTATGATGAGTCAAAAAAAAAAAAATCTTTAAGAAGACCAGAGTGGGTAGAGCCCAGAGCAAAAAGTGTGGAATGAGGGCCCTCCCTGGTGGCGTAGCAGGTTAAAGCACAACACTACACAGCTAAAGCCACTTCAGCACAAGTTTGACCCCCACCCTGACACACCCCTCCCCCACCGCTGCTTCCCTCAGCAGTGTACTTCGTCAGTCTGACTGTTCTGCTCCCCACTCTGTCTCTGGTGAGTCCTCTCACTACCCCTGCACCTCTGGTGGGTACCCCAGTTCTGTATGAGTAGATGAATAAATATAAAAAAATCTGTGACGATGTGCATAGATTTTTTTTCTGCCTTGTCCCAAAAGTAAACATTATGCTATTGAACAATTTTAAGCATGGAAACTACAGGATCAGACTTGGGACAATGGCAGGAACATCAAGTTCTTGTTTGTAAGCAAAGGAAACCCCTACAAGGCATCTCAGCCTCAGCTCCCTAGCGGCAAGCTGTCTCCCCTCCGCCCTCAGGAATTCTCTCTATGTGTCAGGTGGCCCCGGGCAGACTGCTGACCGGCTCCAGCCAGCACTGACTGGCAGCCCAAGCAGAACTGAAACTGTTGGAAAACTTTTCAGTTGCCAATTTCAATGTAGGGCATCAGCCTTTATGTTTAATTATACAGATAGCATCCCATTACAGGTAATGGGGCCTTTACATTTTCCACTGCTTCCTCTGCCTACAGTTACACAAAACAGAGGAATTTTCCAGAAGATGGAGATTCCTTTCATATAGAACAAATGCTTTTTCCAGAGCCTGCCTCTATCTGTGAAGAGGACTCCTGGCTGAGCTTTTACTTTTTTTGCTGCCATTGAGTCATCAATATCCCTCACCTTCTCCTGCTCCAGATTTTGAAATTCCAGACAGACACAGAAAAGCCCCCTATATTGCTAAACTCCTTCCTACCCTCAGCCACCCTGACCAATGCTTGAAGTCCAGCGGATGGACCCTCCCACCAGCCTCCACAAGAGGTGTGTGTGTGTGGGGGGGCAGCATTGCAAAGGAAGCGCTCTGAAATCCCCCAGCGGGGCTGGGAAGGGGAGGAGGGCCTCCCATCTCCACCCCCACCCCCACATTATGATACTGGACTCCACCACCCCCAGACAGGAGTCTGACGGTGGGGTCATAAGAGGGCGCCAAGGCCTGGCCACCTGCGTGGCAGCACCTGGAAATGGAAGAGCGGAGGCCGGATGTTCCCTTCCTCACAACCGGAAGGGGCCCCTCGAAAAGGTCAGGTGACCAATTTGAGCTGAGTCCTGTTCTGTTAGTGGAGTGCAACCCAGGAAACCTCCATCCATCATAAGGCTCTCAGTTTCCCCTTTGTTAAAAATGCGAATAACCGGCCCTCCCTGGTGGCACAGCGGGTTAAAGCACTGCACTAAGAAGCTAAAGCCGTTTCTGCATGAGTTCGATTCCCGCCTGCCCCGGAGGTGACCACATGGTGTGGCAGACCTCTCCTGACCCGCCCGCTGCTCCCCTCAGCAGTGTACTTCAGTTGATCTGCCTGTTCTGCTTCCTGCTCTGTCTCTGGTGAATCCTCTCACCCTCCGCATCTCTGGCCTGTACCCCAGTTCTGTACGAATAAATAAATATTTTTTAAAAATACGAATAACCACTTCATCCTACTGCCTAGAGCATTGTGAGGGGCAAATGAAGCGGCTCACTAATCGGGCTTGAAGGGTGTGAGCTGCCATCATTTCTGTTCCTCTTTATGTCTCCGCAAACACGGGGCTTTGCATAGCAAGGTGAGGTCCTCCCTGCATGCGCTCAGCAAACTCCATGCCTGTGAGCAATAACGTTGAGGTTCAGGGCCAGACTCGGGAGCCGAAGCCTTCGTGTGAACCCCTGCTCGTCAAGGTCACTCTGGGCAAGCTGCTAGCCCCTCGGCTGCCATTGTCTCACCAGTAAATTGGGTAGAATAATACAGTCCATCGCCTGGGCTTGTTTTCAGCATTAAATGAGATAATAGACTAGGCCATTCAGAAGTGACTGGTCCCTAACCAACACTCATGACATGTTAATTTAATAACATTAATGTAAGTGCAGTTCAAGTGGAACAAAGAGACCGCAAAGTAGCCACGGAGCCTGGCAATCACAGAGCTGACCTAAAATGGTTCCTTCCTCAGTGGCTTTTCTTTGAGAAACAGGGTTTGCAGGGGCTTCCTGAGAGCAAATACAGTGGCGATTCATTAGGGCAGGAAGCAAGAGTTGAGAATGTGACCTTGCACCCGAGGGCAGGGGCAGGGTCAGCTGGTCTCCATTCACTGGCTGGGGGTGGGGGGTGAAGGGTGGGGTACCCCCAGCTGGGGTGGGGGGAGGTGCTGCCTGCTTCTCCTCTGACAAGCCAGCGCCCTCTGGCCTCCGGGGTTCATTCTGCTGCATCTGGGCAGGCCACTGCCTCACACTGGCTGGGACACACAATTGGGGTCATTTGGCCACGAGCACATGGCATTGCCGCCAGTCCAGCCTTCTTTCCTCAGGTGCTGTGTGCAAAGTGAGATGCATCTGCTGAGCACACTGCATTGCATTTCCAGGGGCAACGACATCAGGAGTCCCCAGTGTCTAGAAACTCGCCATTACAGACACTGTAGTCACTTAAAAGTAAACGAACAGATCAATACTATTGATATGGCCATTTGTTTACCATGCTTAGAAGATCAGAACAACGTTTTCTTTTTTCTCCCCAAGGAAAATGTTATCCCTAAATAGGTTTTCATTTTACAAGTCAAGGGCCCGTTCTGCTTCAGAGCCAAGGGCTGGGTACGCCTGTGTGTATGGGCTCTGATCCTTTGGGCTCTGATCCTTTGACAGCATCGCCACCACCTTAGGGCACTTTGAGTTTTTTAAATGAAGGCCTGAAGGTGGAAGCCCCACAGGAAGGGTCCTATTCCCAGCCTGTGGATCACCTGCAGGATGGCTAAGGTGCCTGGGAGTTTTAACACCTCTTTCCAGAACAATGTCCCTCTACCCTGACCTACACGTTTCTGACAGTGGCCCATAAAAAACAATAAAATGCTTGCAGCGGGGCCCTCCCTGGTGGCGCAGCAGGTTAAAGCACAGCACTAAAGAAGCTTAAGCCGCTTCTGCATGAGTTCGATTCCCACCTGCCCTGGAGGTGACCACATGGCACAGCAGACCTCTCCTGACACGCCCGCTGCTCCCCTCAGCAGTGTACTTTGACCATCTGCCTGTTCTGCTCTCGCTCTGTTTCTGGTGAACTCACTTACTGCCCCTGCTCCTCTGGCCTGTACCCCAGCCCTATATGCATAAATAAATAAATCTTTAAAAAAAAAAATGCTTGCCGCCTTCAGCTGTCCCTCTATGCAAAGACCCTGCACCCTGACCACCAAGGCAGGAGTCACTCCTCCCTGGACCCCCCAGGGAGGACAAGAGCCTTTGATAGGAGGAGTCACAGGTCTGCCAGCTCCTGGCATGATGGATGCTTCAGGTAGGGCAGGAGGGTGGCCAGGAGCCCTGCCTCAACTGCCAGACGGAGCCCAGCCCCAGCTCCCGCCCTCCCTGCCTTGATCTCAGAGCAGCCTCTTCACAGCCTCTTCCCTTTTCTTTCTTCTATTCTCCTCGCCTTCCTTCTCCTGTCACTTCTCCATTTTTTTATTATATATTTTTTTACATAGTTCTTCATTTTGTGCATTTTTTCATCTCACTTGCAATCCCCATGGGTTTCCCACCACCAATTCACCCGTGTGCCATCAACAAAGTCCAGGGCACTCTTCCCACCCCATTTCCAATCCCATTCTCCCTTCCATAACCATTAAATGTCTCTGGTTTATAGTTGTTCATTGTTTTCATTTTTACTCTATTACATTTGTTTCTCTTTTTTCGGCCTGCTTCTGCACGCTCCTGCCATGAGTGAAACCATCCAGTATTTTTCTTTTTCTTTCTGGCTTATTTCACTAAACATGATCCCTGCCAGCTCTATCCATGTTGCTGCAAAAGGCATGCATTTATCTTTTTGATTGCTGAGTAATATTCCACTGTATATATGTACCACATTCTTTTATCCAGTCATCTATTTTTGGGCATTTGGGTGATAGCTCCTCCATTTTTCTCTGGCCTTTTGTCCCAAGAAGTGTGACCCCTGGAACAGCAGCACCAGCAACGCTCAAGAACTTTGTCAGAAAGGCAGACTCTCAGGCCAGAGGGACTCCTGACTCCTGCTCCGACAAGATCCCAGAGTAGTTATGTGCATACTGAAGTGTGGGAGGTGCGCTGAGCCTCCTCTGCCCTTATTCCTTCTTTCCCCACACTTAGCGTCGTCTGTCTTTCCTGTCACCGTCCCACCCTCTGTTCCTTATCTCCTGCTCCCTTGCTCTATGGTCTTTCATTTCTTTTCTCCCGCCCCCTTCCTTCCTTTTCCCTATTCCTATTCTTTTCTTTGCAATAGCAGCCACCCACCAATCCATCCTCCCCGCATCCATGATCCACTTATTCTCTCTTCCATCTGATTCTCCCAGATTGTCTCTCTCTCCCCCACCACCATTCTGTTTCTCTTCACTTGACTGAGACTTAAGAGAAAACAACAAACCATTCGCTCCCTTCTGCCCAAATACCACCAAGGGTCTGGCCCAGCAAGCCCTAATCCTTCCTCTTCTTGGCTCTGCCTGGAAAGTGAAATCCACACCCGGAAGCAGACTGGGGAGCCCCCCGCCCTGGCGCCCCCCAGCGGCCAGCCCCGGTGGTACCTGCAGAGGATTCTTTGTGCTTATGGCGATGACATGGTACTTGTAGTAGCACAGCTCACAGCTCCAGCAGCCCCGCTCGCTGATCCACTTGATGAGGCAAGGCTGGTGCGTGCACTTGACCGACCCATCGCAGCGGCACGGGCTCAGCAGCTCCCCCTGCAGGGAGAGGCAGAGAGTGGTCAGGCCGACCCTGGTCTAATGGGGCGTGGGTGGGTCGATGCCCCTGCAGCTCTGGTTGGGGCCAATCTGGTGGGTCAGACCACTCTGCTCAAACCAGACCACAGCTTCATTGAGAGGCACCAGACCACCCGGAGGAGACTGGGCTCCTGCCCTCCACCCCCAGTCTCCTCCCATCACCCCACGTCTGACCTCCTTCCTCCACCAGCGCCTCGGAGCTAGACAATTTCAACACTCAAGAGTCCTGGCCCCAAGTCCTAGGGTTTCTGTAAAATCTCTGCAAACCTGGGCCACCCATAGGGTGTGGCGGCCTGCACACAGGCAGCCTGTGCTTCTCTTTGAAAGCCCAGCAGGGTTTCCAAATCAGTTGTCCCTGGGACCTACACGTCAGGTCTCTCTTTGCATCTTCAGTCATGTTCTTTGCATCCTGATAGGGCCTGTGTCTATGCCTGTCTACCTGCCAGAGAAGCCCCAAAAGGCAGAGATGAGGGGTGGTTTATCTTTGCACCCCTCCCCCCAGTGTCTAACGCACATTCAGAAGGTCCTCAGCAACCTTTGCCCTTGAATGTGTAAGTGAAAGAATCAGGTGTCCACTCAGACTTCCCACACTGCCCTGGGAACAGATATGTGACCGCGCAAATAGGAGGAGAGCATCACACTGGCATTGCAGACCCCACTACCCTGCTGGGAGCCCCCCACTACCCTGCTGGGAGCCCCCCACTACCCTGCTGGGAGGCCTGCAACCCAGGCACACAGGTGCGAGGAAGGAACTCGGTGGAAGTGAGTGATCCCCATAAAACCTGCCCTGTCCACACTTTGTGCCTCCAGTTTGATCGCTCCCTTTCACTGTGACTCCCCCTGCTTCCCCTCCCCCCATCATAGCATTCCCTCATGGGAACAACAGCTTCTCCATCTCGGCATCCTTAGTGCCTGGTACAGTGTCTGAAGCTGACATTCCATGCAGCTTTGAAGGGGAAAGCACCACTATCTGTGATGATCAAGAAGCTTCGCTCCTCTAGGATATGGCCAGCCTCTGGCACCGGTGGGCAGCCGTGACCCTGGTCGAGGAGGCAAGAGATGCCCACACTGCTGGGCACATAGCACATTCATCAAGGCCTAAGGGCCTTTGGCGTCGAGCTCCTTGCAGCTCTGAGAAAGAAATGGGAGAGAGTGAATGGAGAGAGGGGTGGGGAGGAAGGCAGGAGCCCTCATTATTCATGGCAGCATTTCCTAGGCTCATTAATTCTAACAGGATGAGCTGGGTTTGATTAATCGGGTTGTTAAGCAACCATGTCAAATTGCCGATCAGGTAAGAGACATGACTTCCGGTCCCTGCAACAATGCCAAGCAGCAGTGAAGATGTCCTTACTCCCCAGCAGCGGCTGGCAGTGAGACAGGGAGGAAGAGCTGTGGGCCCCACGGCGCTCTCCACTGGGCTGCGGGTGGGGGCCTCGGGCTCGCTGGAGCCTCCCAGGGGTCAGAGGGCGCAGGGCCCAGTTCCAGGGCCTGGCCAAGGGCCCAAGAGGCCACAGCGTGGGGGGTGGAGCCTGCTTCCCGGGTCCCCCACACCTGTCCTTGGGGCTCAAGCATCCTGATAGCAGAATCAGGATTTGATTCAGGTGCCTCACACATCGGAAAGAAGGAAACCCAAAAGTGCTTACCTTTGATGAACGAAGCAGTTCACGATTTTAGAAAAAAAATGATGAACCCAGAAGGAAACTGTTTTAATGTTGGCCATCTCATAAATGTTGTAGTTTATGATTTAGTGTGTGTTGGGTACATTTGGGAGCAGGGCCGTGATCTTTTTTTGTCTAGGGCTTCTGAGAGGCCTTCACCTTTGACGGGGTGGGCTGTACTTTTTCAACAAGAAAAGGAGAAGTGAGCCAGCACAGGCACACTAGAGCACACTCACGGAAGGCATCTTAGCGATAAGCTCTGGAAATGGTGGCAAACGGTGGTAACATTTCATATAAGAGAGACCCCTATGAAAGAGAAAGGTGAAATGACCAGCTCAGGGTCACTCAGCCAGCTGATGGCAAAGGCCAAAGGTAGAGCCAGGTCACTCTGACGTCAGGCTCAACCTCGCACCCCCCGCTCCCTGGACCCTGGGGTCCCTCCCACTCTTGCGCCTCTGGTCTCCTCCCTGTCCCCTCTCCAGATGCCACCCCTCCGGGGTCCAGCTCAGGCCCCTCCACCAACTCCCCCAAACTGCCAGCTACAGACCTGTCTCCTCTCCCAGCGTCATCATCCACAGCTTGGCATGAAATTAGTCTCTAATTGCTTCCTGCGGGAATGGGGCTGCCCCTGTGTACCCACAGAATGGAGCACATTGCAGGTGCATGAAAAATTGTGCTGGCAGATGGGAACCAGCATATGGGCAAGGAGAGCCCTCAGGGTCAGCTCCTGAGGCTCCAGGCTTTGAGCTGGGACAACAAGATGATCGTGTCTACAGAGTTCTGCAAACGCCAAGAGCAATGGGCTTCATTAAAGGCTAAGGGCACCAGACACTTCTGAGGTGACCTGTTCCAAGCGTCCAGGTCCAGAGACTGGCCTTGGGAAGACTAAGGCAACAGAAAACTCAGATCTTCTCTAACCTCAGCTCCCAAGGGGTATAGGGTGGGGCCAGAGGCTGGAGAGGCCATGAGGGAGGAGTGAAGAGCATGGATTTGGAGACAGACTCCTTGGGTTTGGGTACACCGCTTCACTACTCACTGGCTGTGCAAACTAAAGTCCCTCAACCTCTCTGAGGCTCTATTTGTTTCTTGACCTTTCCATGGCAGGCAGATTTCCCTTCCTCAAGAGTGGTTGTGTGCACTGAGTGGGCTCATACATGCAACATATACACGCAGAGCTCAGCACAAGTCCTCTGGGCAGAGAGAGTCTAACTTGTGTTTCCATAAGGACTTTATGTAAGTCTCCCGACTGCAGCTCTGCTTTATTGTCTTCCGAGCGAATGGGTAAGACAGGAAGCTACGCTGAAAGGAAAGCTTCAGCTGGGCCCCAGGGACCCTTGAGGGATGTTGCCCTTCTGAGGGGGTCAGGGTTCAGCGCACAGAATCAGAAACTCAGGTCCCCAATGGCCTCTTCACCACTGAGACAGAAAAGCACCAGCCTTGGTGGGTTGCTGGGGTCACTTAGGCAGGACAAGGTGATCCGCATCCTCTTGTGTGTGTCTGAGCTGGGGGTGGAAGAACAGATGGATTCTCCCCGCTGCCAATGGTACAGCAAGCTGCAGGGCCAGCTTTCTCCATTCATGGATTTCTTTGTGGTTTGTTTAGGCTTGCTTCATCCCCCTCCCCCAATCCAAAAGGGCTCAGTTGTGGGGTCTTAAGTTGCATGGTTGCTATGGCAGAGTCAGGTAAGCCAGGATGTCCCCTCCTACCCACACAGGGACTAGGTATCATGCCACCAGGCAGAAAGCAACAAATACAGAGTCTACGGAAACACGGACAGTCCAGCCTGGTGGCAGTTTACTGCTCTGGACATCAGGACAAAGGACACAAGAGGAGAGTCCGCCTGGGGGCAGCTTTGGGATAGCTTCCTTTATTGAGACTAACATGGCGGTCACCAGCTGGAGCTCTATTTACAGACAGAATTGACTGTGTCTGGCTCTTGAAAGAGCCAGTCTGTGTGTCCCTGGACAAGTATCTTAACCTCTCTGAGCCTCATTCAATCATTCTTTTATTCATTCAATATTCACCTATTATGCTCCAAGTTCTGGTCTAGGTGCAGGAATGCAGCACTGAGTGGAACTGACAAAAATGATTCAATAGAAAGACAGGCAAATAAAAAAGATACATGTAAATGCTAAGAACCCAAAATATTGTCATGTGCTCTGAAGCAAAGAAACAGGAAAAAAAGGAACATGGAGACCAAGGTGGAGGGTGGGGGGTTGAGTGGAAATTCTAAAATAGAGTCGGTTGTGGAAGGTGTCATCAAATGGTGACATTTGCGTGAAGACCTGAGAAAGGTGAGAGAGCAAGTCACACAGACACCTGTGGGCTGAGCCTTTGGCAGAAGGAATAGAGAGTGCAAAGGCCCTGGGACAGAAGCATGCCCAGCATTTATTGGGGCACCAGAAGAATCTGGGCCTGGGGTACAGTGAATGAGGGCAGAGGACTAGGAGATGAGATTAGAGATACAATGAGGATCAGTAAAGGAGGGACACAACTCTCAGACCTCGTCAACCATTTTAAGGACTTGCTCTTGTCTGTGAATAAGATGGGAAATCACGAGCATGTTGGGAGCAGAGGGGAATGACATGAAGCCACCAGGTTTGACAGGCTCACTCTGGCTGCTCTGTTGAAAACAGACTAGAAGAAAGTTAGGGTAGAGTGAGGAGACGGGAAGCTGTTGTGATAATCCAGGTGAGTGAAGATCTTGTTTGGGACCAGTGTGTCCACAGTGGCAGTTCAGGGAGATGCTCAGCTTCTGGACATAGCTTGAATGTCATGGATATTAAGATCTATATCAAGTGTGGGCAGTGATAGGAGATAAGTCAGCCATGAGGCCAATTTTGACCTGAACCACAAGGACGGAGAGCTGCCTTGACATGGGCAAGCCTGTGTGAGGGGCAGGTTTGGAGTTAGAGTGGGAGCTCCCTTGTGGACGCATCAACAAGGAGATGCCAGTTAAATCTCCAGGAGACACCAAGTAGGGGTGCAATCCACGTTCAGATGGAGTTGAGGGGACAGACCGAGGGCTTAGAACCGCCGGCATCCCCATGACGAAATCGCAAAGGAAGAAAATGTATGCAGACAAAAGAGGGCTGCTTCCCGAAGGACACCCCAGTGTCGGAGCTTAGGAGACAGGGAAGATGGGGTGCAAGAAGCTGAGAAGGGAAGGTGAACAAGAGGACGTGTTCAGCCTTGCCCAGCGCTGCCGAAGGAAGCAAGTAGGATGAGAACTGAGAGCTACCCATGAATTTGGCAGTTTTCCTTCAATTGCTTCTATTTTCTAGGTGATGCATGAAGCAAATG